TACAGGGTAGTTTGACAGATAGCCTTCTGGTATAAACCTTTTCTTAGATCACGATAATAAGGACATACAAAAGTAAATGAATTTCATTTTCTATAGCTGAATGACATAATGGGCATAACCTCTTCGATGTTTCAGTGGACATTTTTTTCCTTCATTATCATTAGAGCAATCCAAGCCTAAATTGAATAAATTTATTCACCCGCACTCTCCACTTGAGGTACATAGTTTTGCACACATCTTTTACATTTGGACCAGCTCTATTGCCCGAGACTCGTAGAAACCATACCTCTGATCCATGACAAATTTTGATATTGTTACATAGAGTCTGGACCATAAACCAATGGCATTGACAACTATCGACTTCGGGCCACGATGACAGAAAATGTCTAAGACGTTTTGAAACAAACGTACAATGACACACAATGTCTTAGATGTCGAGGTACGATGATATTCAATGTCTTAGACGTCGGAGTACGATGATATTCAATGTCTTAGACTACGGGGTACGGTGACACACAATGTCTTAGACGTCGGAGTACGATGATATTCAATGTCTTAGACTACGGGGTACGGTGACACACAATGTCTGAGAAGTCGGGGTACGGTGATACACAATGTCTGAGACGTCGGGGTACGGTGACACACAATGTCTGAGAAGTCGGGGTACGGTGACACACAATGTCTGAGACGTCGGAGTACGTTGACATACAATGTCTGAGACGTCGGAGTACGGTGACACACAATGTCTGAGACGTCGGGGTACGGTGACACACAATGTCTGAGACGTCGGAGTACGATGACACACAATGTCTTAGACGTCGGGGTACGGTGACACACAATGTCTGAGACGTCGGGGTACGGGGACGCACAATGTCTTAGACTACGGGGTACGGTGACACACAATGTCTTAGACGTCGGGGTACGGTGACACACAATGTCTGAGACGTCGGGGTACGGGGACGCACAATGTCTTAGACTACGGGGTACGGTGACACACAATATCTGAGACGTCCGGGTACAGTGATACACAATGTCTGAGACTACGGGGTACGGTGACACACGATGTCTGAGACGTCCGGGTACGGTGACACACAATGTCTGAGACGTCGGGGTACGGGGACGCACAATGTCTTAGACTACGGGGTACGGTGACACACAATGTCTGAGACGTCGGGGTACGGTGACACACAATGTCTGAGACGTCCGGGTACGGTGACACACAATGTCTGAGACGTCGGAGTACGGTGACACACAATGTCTGAGACGTCAGGGTACAGTGACACACAATGTCTGAGACGTCGGTGTACGGTGACACACAATGTCTTAGACGTCGGAGTACGGTGACACACAATGTCTGAGACGTCGGGGTACAGTGACAAACAATGTCTGAGACGTCGCGGTACGGTGACACACAATTTCTTAGACGTCGGAGTACGGTGACACACAATGTCTGAGACGTCGGAGTACGGTGACAGACAATGTCTGAGACGTCGGGGTACAGGGACACACAATGTCTGAGACGTCCGGGTACGGTGACACACAATGTCTGAGACGTCGGAGTACGGTGACACACAATGTCTGAGACGTCCGGGTACGGTGACACACAATGTCTGAGACGTCGGAGTACGGTGACACACAATGTCTGAGACGTCAGGGTACGGTGACACACAATGTCTGAGACGTCGGTGTACGGTGACACACAATGTCTTAGACGTCGGAGTACGGTGACACACAATGTCTGAGACGTCGGGGTGCGGTGATACACAATGTCTGAGACGTCGGAGTACGGTGATACACAATGCCTTAGACGTCTGAGTACGGTGACACACAATGTCTGAGACGTCGGGGTACGGTTACACACAATGTCTGAGACGTCGGAGTACGATGATATTCAATGTCTTAGACTACGGAGTACGGTGACACACAATGTCTGAGACGTCGGGGTACGGTGACACACAATGTCTGAGACGTCGGAGTACGGTGACACACAATGTCTGAGACGTCGGGGTGCGGTGACACACAATGTCTGAGACGTCGGAGTACGGTGACACACAATGTCTGATACGTCGGAGTATGGTGACACACAATGTCTGAGACGTCGGAGTACGGTGACACACAATGTCTGAGACGTCGGAGTACGATGATATTCAATGTCTTAGACTACGGAGTACGGTGACACACAATGTCTGAGACGTCGGAGTATGGTGACACACAATGTCTGAGACGTCGGAGTACGGTGACACACAATGTCTGAGACGTCAGGGTACAGTGATACACAATGTCTGAGACTACGGGGTACGGTGACACTCAATGTCTGAGACGTCGGGGTACGGTGATACACAATATCTGAGACGTCGGAGTACGGTGACACACAATGTCTTATATACTGTTCAAAGCGGCGTTAAATCAAACTCACCTATTCATTCCCTCTTTCGAGAACAATACATTATGATGTGTCTGAACAACAAAACTTGTGCTTTTCATCAACAACAATGTATTGTAGCTTAACAGTGCTAATGCAGCTAATGCTAATTCGTCAAAACTGTAGTTTCTGAGAGAGGCAGAAATAGCTCGAAATATGTCATGTTTTCACATCATGCATTATGTTCGACAAAATGCATTTGATGTAGCTTGAGAGCATGTAGGATGTAACGAAACAACAGTGCATGAGGGGTACTAATCTCTTACAATAGAGCATAACCACTTCATAATCATAGGGTTACATAATTTAGGAAAATGTATTTGAAAAAGTGCTGAAGAATATGACACAAAAAACTGGATGTTTACTTATTGATATTATGACTGTACCCAACCGAACTAATCACCAAGAAAACTCCGGTCCTCGATGCGTACTTTCATTAGTGTAAGTGTGTGGGGATGTTTATCGTTCGTACCCATAGTAAAATGTAAACACAGAGTGCTGAAAACACAGTCATAGATTTGTGTGTTAATGTCTGGTGAAGACTCGGAGGAGGAGGTTTTATTGTTGCCATCGCTACCACCGTCGAAGGGAAATAGGAAGATATGTATAAAGGCTCATGTTTATTTAAACTTAGTGGTGCTGTGACGTATGTAGGTGTGTGATCTGACACAATGTCAATGTCATTTATTGACGACTCATTTATTTTTGCGATCTTTAAGAATTTATGGAATTACAGATAACTTTTTATGATAAATAGGCAGGAAGCACAACCTCAAGACTTTAATATTCAACCTCCTTTGTTGTTCTAGAAAATTAACATTATTATAGAAAATGTTTGATGACTTCTCTGGATTATGAAATTATAAATTATGATTAAATGGAGCAAGAACTGAATAATGTTTAAGTTTGAGGAGATGTTCTGTATGTTCACTATGACGGGTATGTGTCGCTTAACTTCATCTATAACTTACATATGGCAACAAAGCCTTTATTGAGGGAATTATTGCAATATACATGTGGTTACTTAATGGATATTTTGGCACTATACACACGAGTGGTTCTAAATGGTTTGATATGGTTTGACATTCTCAAATAGGTATATGATAGACTCGATGTGGATAAGCGTCTGAGTTGAAAAGTAATTTAATTATATGACTGATTATCAGTTTGATGTGCGACAAAAGCCCCAAATGACACGCGTTTTGAACAAGAGCTTTGGCGCAAGAAATGGGTATGATGCTGCAGGTCCGGGCACAGCCAAGGGAAGCAACACAGCACAGCGTCTCAGACAAGTTGGCTACCCTTGAAGTTGAATATAGGCAAATACGAATGGTGACTCTTCAGCGCTACATGTATTTGCAAAACAATTTCTGTTTGTGTTTGTTATAAACAGCCGTCTCCCGATATATCGAAGGCACGGGGGAACTTCTATATAACCGGGATACGAGATGGAGAGACACGAGGCTAAACATGGGTAGATTTGGTTGGGAATGGGTCAACTTCAACTAAAATGTGTTCTTAGATTAGTTTACAGATACCGATCATCGTCTGGACAGTGGTATAAGGAACGCAACTTCAGTAATGGTTGTCCTGGAGTTCTGACAAATCCGATAATCTTATAATAGTGAACTGTTCAAAGCGTTAATTTAAGTATCGATCTGTAAACACTTTCCTCTTTTCGAAGACTTGCCAATTGAGGATCATCTTCCGCACAAGTTGATCACAATTAACTACTTTTACGAAAAAGAATTTAAAGTTTCGAACCAACGATTACAAAACCAGCATGTTTTATCTGCTACACATCAGGCTATGTGCTATAGTTTGAAAAAGGCGCCCCTATAACTTATAATGGATGTCACAAGTTTTCCTCACCATTTTTATCGGCACTTAATCGTAACATACCAGATCACAAATCTTGCGCTTCGTAAACGCTGGCGGCGGAGGGCAGTTGTATGGGTTAAACGATCAGTAAGCTTGACTCCCGAGTGTTTCTGGAGCTTCGGCCCTGCCACATACTTAACTTTCTTGTTACCTGTGGTGTCTCCTTAGGCAAATGCCCCAGCTCACCCACCAGCGAATGTGGGTTACCGGTTGGATAAAATCGACCAGTGGATGCAAACACTTCTAGCGGCTAACAGACAGACTTGGTCGTGTACAGGAAGTTTATGATGTCATTTGTAATGCGCAATGACTCGTTGACGGGGTTAACGACGTGAGGAATTATAACATGGCCCCTCCGTGGTGTGGAGTTTGGTGCTATATAGGTAACCTGGTATTATAATATAAACCAGTAAGCAATCATTATCGCATCTGGTTCCTTGGTCAAGTTGAAATAAGACAACTCATAATCGATGGTCTAATCGTTAACTATCGACGACAGGCGATACTGTCAGATTTCAATTACGCCGTGAAAGAAACGTTGAAGAAGGAATTTATGGATGGGTACAACTGTGTATGTGCTAGCAGTGTTATCAGTTGATTCATTCACAAATGATGGCAACCGTGACGTGTCACCTGAATCACTGCATCGCGTGGGGATGGCAGACGTTCCATGTGCAGTTAAAAAAGGTTATTCTTACCGATTTGGCGTGACTGTCGACGTGGGCATAATCCGCCTCTCTGAACACGTCTGTTTTCCTGCTGATCGGTGGCTTGGGAGGGGGGTAGGAGTCGAGGGAGTCAGGGACGCTGATCTGAAACAACGGGAGGTGTGACAATAATGCATAATAAAGATGGAATGAACAAAGAATACAGAATATTCGTTCTGCCATACCCAGTTCAAACATCTACAGACGATGCACCAATATCACCTTCGTTAAGCTACTTGACAACATGGTGTTGTTGTTTTTTATTATAATCTTTAAATGTTAAGGACCATCCGATTCTGTCATCTTACTATAGTTAATCTGTTATGGCAGTATATATTGATATATTATGCATTACCTGGAACCCACGCTCAATAACTTCCTGAAGATTATATCTAATACCTGTATTGATAACTGAGCGGTAGTGTAGCTGGAGACTGCATTTTATATTCATTTCGCATCTTAAGGTGCAGGAATATACTAAACCTGACGGTTCCCTTGTTAACCTGTTTCCCTTTCTGAACTCCACCTACCGGACTTATTTCCGATCCTTTGTTGTCTGTGCTGGAGGCTGTCCCCATGTCTGCGAGTCTGTTTGCTGTTACGTCAGTACCGCGGTATCAGGACATGTTCGACTGCAACACAAATACCGGTACATTAGTTGGGCAGTTTTCTTTAAAGCAATTCATTCTAGCCAATTGCCACCACTTATTGCATTGGTGCTTGTCCGTGTCTCTTTCATGGACAATGGTAAAGATGGTTTTCTCTGCATCGTTGTTAGCTATGAACAATGATGAATGCTACTGCTATGCATTTGCTGCTGTTATGATTAATGGAAATGCATATTGTGAGCACAGTGACGACCTGACTCATCGTCAACAGTAATATTGCTTGTTTCTAGAAGCCACTAAACCCTGCTAAAAGCAGAGTCGATTGTAAGATTCCGACTATATCATGAGCATGTGTTTACGAAAGACTACTAAATAGTCTTGATAAGTTCGCGAAAAGGTGAGCATATCCTGCCCCACCGGTGGCACCCGTCACAAACACATGCAAAAGCAAGTCAATTTGATCACCTGAAAAAAACACGAGAACATAATGGTACAAGTAAAAATAGAGATTATTCGGGCATCATTTTTGTCTCTGATGCGTCAAATTTGGAAATGTCCTTTATATATCTACCATAATACATTTTTGAAAGCTTCACTTAGGCCTTGAATGTTGTAACCTTGACCAAACAACGTCTGAGTAGGGGCTGTATGACGCTCATTGAAATCTTAGTAGAAAGCGCATGTTCCATTGTACCTGAAAAGTGGTGAAATGTAGACACCAAGGGCTGGAGTTGCGGGATTATTGTTGGACATTAGGGCAAAGTTGACTATTAGAAAATTGAAGTCAAGTAATCTCTTGTTTTAATATGTGCTCACGTGTGTTCATATGAATACACTTACATGTGTTGGGTTTATAAAAAACAAACAATTATAAACCAACTGCCACTCTTGCCTATAATATTGTAGGTATCTTGTTATCTCATAGTTACCGTGTGAGGTACTACTTTCAAGTGAGACTTCTTGAGAGATTTTATATTTGAATTGTAAGACCTGCTTGGATTGTTTTAAAAGCCATTTAATGTACATCTAATGTTGATGTTTGTCTGGTTACAAGCCTCAACGTCTTTTCACATGAAATAGACTCTGCAACCTCACGTTTAATATTGTACCCCACTGGCTCCCACTGAACCTCCGGAGCAAGTGATAAAAGGGTGTTCAATCTTACATGTCATAACTTATCATGCTGCACGTGGTCGTTCCCTCACGCGCTTTCATCGAATTCGTTTAAACCGCGACTACCTATGTTTCACTATTTGGTATTCCGATGTTTTCTTATTCTTTCCGGTATTCCTTGCATTTCGCCGATTCATTGGTTACTGAAGACACTCCCCTTCCGTTTCCGTTGAAAATGTAAAACCTTCAGCTCGCTGAGGTTTTACATTTTCGTCCAAAACCGAGGAAGGCGGTTTTTTTTAACTATAACTAAATGTATAGGTCAAACGTGACAAATTGGAGGTTTTCGGGAAGCATTTATATTTTGTAATATTTGAACATAATCAAATTGTCAACCAAGCCGATTTTCTTATTGGGAGGTGCAGAATGGGCACATGGTAAAACGTTCATCTTGGGTCACGAAGATAGTAAAATATTCTTTTAGGTCTGAAAAATATGCATAGTTCACTTATTTTAGACATAACTATGTACTTGACCACGTCAAAGTCCACATCTTGCAAGTGTAAGATTTTCATAACCATAAGAGATATCTGCTAGAAGCAGAGTCCATTGTACGATTCCGACTACATCGTGAGCATGTGTTTATGAACCATTATCCTATAGTGACGATACCAAGGCCGCGTTCAACATAACGATTGTATCGCACAGGTGACCATAAGTCCTACACGATCGCTTTGTGGAATGGAGGCCAGGTGTTCGCGAAAAGGTGAGCGTATCCTGCCCCACCAGTGACACCCTGTGGCAACTCTTGAGCAAGGGTCGTATGAGGCTCTTCTCGAAAGAACATGCTCGATTATACCCCTGAAGTAAACTGACCATTTGTAAGACATTTGAAACATGTTTGATAACTTTATACCAATATCTAAGTTTTCCAAAAGCCCCTTATACACCTCATCCTTTAGTTTAACTTGAGCATACAGTAAAACAAAGCCATAGAAATTGATATTTCGAAAACTAGTTATCATGTTACTAGAATTCCTACTTCAAATTGACCGCCTCCGTGGTCTAGAGGTAGAGCGTCCGCCCGGAGAGCGGCAGGTCCGGGAGCGTCATACCAAAAGTCGTTAAAAGATGGTACTTGTTGTTACCCTGTCTGGCGCTCGGCATTAAGGGGTTAAAACAAGGACTGGTCGGCACCCAGTCAGTATACTGTGTCTGAGTGGGGTATTCATGTCTCGTATCTCAGTGAGCTAGCACTATAAATCGGCATCGGTCCGGACTAGTACAAGCAGACACGCGCGCGCGCACACACACACACACACACACACACACACACACACACACACACACACACACACACACACACACACACACACACACACACACACACCCCACACACACCCCACACACACACCCCACACACACACACGTCGCTATATAAGTGCAATAACCTTGGACGCGTCGTTAAACCCAATTTCACCTCACCTCACCTACATCAAATTCCCTTGATAACGTCATTGTTGTAGCTTCTACCCGTATTAATTACGCACAGATAAACAAATTATATTTATTTGCAACCATGAACACATTATTAACCCTAAAATTAGTGAAGGCTTACGGTTAACACGGTTAACTAGTGACTTAAGACAGACTCTACCGGCTGGAACCGGAACGTATGTTCACTGAATCAATAGCTGCGGTCCACGGCATGGCAAATTGCCTCACTAGGATGCCTGTACTTTCTTTGGTCCAGCAGTTTTCTGTTGTTCATGAAACTGAAATCTCATTATACAAGTACTCGATTATCTACAATATACATTATTCTATTAAAACAAATTGAGGAATGACGTCCTACCTTTAAATCTATTGTTTGTTTATAACAGATCAATAAACACTGATCATGGGAAGATGATCATGTTACGGTACGCCCACCAGGTGCAACGAATAAAAACTGTCCGCAGATATAGAAACACCCTTTAAAATAGACTTCTTGTGCCGGTTATGTTTTAATATATTTGTTCAACTAATTTGGGATAGATGGTGATTTTGAAGAAATTATACTCTTTATTCTGATGCAATTTCTTCTGATCAGCACAAGCAGAGGTTTTATTCACGGTCTGGTGATAAAATATCGATTCTTTGCCAACTTGGGATGGCAAAAAATGATTTCCACAGGAACTACGGAGTAAAACAAAAATGCTTATTTGGCAACTTTTGATTCTGTTGGCACCTATATAGTGTGATTACAAGATGTTCAGGAAGAGAGTCAATGAGTTTAACGGCGCTTTGAACTCAAGAAGAGACCACCTATTTTAACATCTGTCATCGCCCTATCATTTCAATAGGTGTAGGTTTGTAAATGGAATTTGCAACAACGTAAATACCGTTTCCGCCTTTGTTACTGAAACAAACACAAAGAAATCCTACATATGAACATCACCTTGGCAACTCCTTAACGTATTTTATTGGATACAGGTTATTGGTTCAGAAAACCCTTCGTAAATGGTCTGACAAGAAAGATTTGATGTGCTAACATTGAGATAAAGCAAATACAAGTTGTACAGTGTCGTGTTCAACACTTATATATTGATCCTTGTCATGAGGGTATAAATGTTATGGTTCACCAAGGAAACGATGGACAGTTGGACTCCTAGAAACAAAATGTTTTGGTCTGTGGTGCCGGTTGCCATTGGGATGTATAGAAGAACGCCCGACTGTGTAAATGGAACAACAAATAAATGATGCCAGACAAGTTGGTTATTGGCAAAGGAGTAATGTGTGCCACCTTTGTTACACTCCCTATTGTTGTTGGAGGTTACGTTAAGTATATAATTGTTGGACTGAACCTGAGAGATTTTATTTTGGAAGATAGACAGCTGAATGTTGCATGTAACCTCTCACGATCAATGTGTCTGTGTGTACCGGTGTTCTACTATTTGTCCGTGCATGTAATACAATCCCTGGTCGTCAGCGTGTCTGTATGGCTGGCTGTCAGTGCTATGTCTGCATGTGTCTGCATATCCAGAATGTATGCCTGTGTGTGTATGACAGCGGCGTGCGTATGTCTGCATATCCTGTATGCTTGTGTATGCATGACAACGTACTTGTGTCTGCATATCATGTATGCGTGTGTGTGCATGACAGCGTGCGTATGTCTGCATATCCTGTATGCTTGCGTATGCATGACAACGTACTTGTGTCTGCATACCTTGTATGCTTGTGTATGCATGACAGCGTGCGTATGTCTGCATATCCTGTATGCTTGTGTATGCATGACAGCGTGCGTATCTCTCCATATCCTGTATGCGTGTGTATGCATGACAGCGTGCGTATGTCTGCATATCATGTATGCGTGTGTGTGCGTTCTCCAACCTGCATATCTATCAGTGTTCATGCTCATAAGACGGAGGGTTTTTCGTCTGCAACTGTCTGCATCTGTGTGTCAGGGTCTATACATATGTGCATGCGTCCATCTGTGCATATTTTCCTTTCAGCGTTTGAATGCCGGTGTGTGTGCGACTAGTGCGACCGAACTAGCCCACTGGAATACAATGCTGCATTTCATCATGGATACCCTACTCACTCCGAGGCGACCTAGGCTTGTCGTACGAGGTGACTTACCGGATGGGATGGTCAGGCTCGCTGACTTGGTTGAAACATGTCATAGATCCCAATTACGTGGATCGATGTTCATGATATTAATCACTGGATTGTCTGGTCCAGACTCGATTATTTTAAGACCGCCGTCATATAGCTGGAATATTTCTGAGTGCGGCGTAAAACAACAAACCAACCGAGGCGACCAGACTGTGTTGTATCCCCTTAATGCCAAGCTCCAATCATTGTGTGCTACTGACAGTCTGTATTATCCGCCATTGACGAACAAACTCCATCTTTGACCGTCTCTTGGAATGGAGGGGCCGGGGTTCGACTATCCGCGCTCCGTGTAATACTTTAAGACATAAATACGACAGTTGACACTAATAAAACGTTACATCTAACTTATAAAAAACAACAATTAAGGCAAAATAAAGCAATGAGAATGATGATATGTTACCTGTGACGGTATGCATATCAGAGTTTGTAAAACCACTTGAATAGCGCATATAAAATTGCATATCAGGGATACACGAGCTGTCAGGGTTGCAGCTTAAACCACGATTTAGCATTTGACACAAATCAGAATAGTTTGTTCGCGTGCTGTAAATAGTGTTATGTCATAAAGTATTCACTTATTAAGTGTAAACATGTCTACCTATTAAGTGTAAACATGTCCACCTATTAAGTGTAAACATCTCCGCCTATTAAGTGTAAACATGTCCGCATATTAAGGGTAAACATGTCAACCTATTAAGGGTAAACATGTCCACCTATTAAGGGTAAACATGTCCACCTATTAAGTGTAAACATGAAGCGTACACGTGTCCACCTATCAAGTGTAAACATGTCCACCTATTAAGTGTTAACATGTCCACCTGTTAAGTGTAAACGTGTCCACCTATTAAGTGTAAACATGTCCACCTATTAAGTGTAAACATATCCACCTTTTAAGTGTAAACGTGTCCACCTATTAAGTGTAAACATGTCCACCTATTAAGTGTAACAATGTTCACATATTAAAGGTAAACATGTCCACCTATTAAGTGTAAACATGTCCACCTATTAAGTGTTAACATGTCCACCTATTAAGCGTAAACATGAAGCGTACACGTGTCCACCTATTAAGTGTAAACATGTCCACCTATTAAGTGTAAACATGTCCACCTATTAAGTCTAAACATGTTCACCTATTAAGGGTAAACATGTCCACCTATTAAGTGTAAACATGAAGCGTAAACGTGGCCACCTATTAAGTGTAAACATGTCCACCTATTAAGTGTAAACGTGGCCACCTATTAAGTGTAAACATGTCCATCTATTAAGTGTAAACATGTCCACCTATTAAGTGTAAACATGTTCACCTATTAAGGGTTAACATGTCCACCTATTAAGTGTAAACATGAAGCGTAAATAGTGTCCACCTATTAATGTAAGCGTGACCACCTATTAAGGGTAAACATGTCCACCTATAAAGTTTAAACATGAAGCGTACACATGTCCACCCATTAAGTGTAAACATGTCCACCTATTAAGTGTAAACGTGTCCACCTATTAAGTGTAAACATGTCCACCTATTAAGTGTAAACATGTCCACCTATTAAGTGTTAACGTGTCCACCTATTAAGTGTAAACATGTTCACCTATTAAGTTTAAACATGTCCACCTATTAAGGGTAAACATGTCCACCTATTAAGGGTAAACATGAAGCGTAAACGTGTCCACATATTAAGTGTTAACGTGGCCACCTATTAAGGGTAAACATGTCCACCTATTAAGTGTAAACATGAAGCGTACACGTGTCCACCTATTAAGTGTAAACATGTTCACCTATTAAGGGTTAACATGTCCACCTATTAAGTGTAAACATGAAGCGTAAATAGTGTCCACCTATTAATGTAAACGTGACCACCTTTTAAGGGTAAACATGTCCACCTATAAAGTGTAAACATGAAGCGTACACATGTCCACCTATTAAGTGTAAACATGTCCACCTATTAAGTGTAAACGTGTCCACCTATTAAGTGTAAACATGTCCACCTATTAAGTGTAAACATGTCCACCTATTAAGTGTTAACGTGTCCACCTATTAAGTGTAAACATGTTCACCTATTGAGTGTAAACATGTCCACCTATTTAGTGTAAACATGTTCACCTATTAAGTGTAAACGTGGCCACCTTTTAAGTTTAAACATGTCCACCTATTAAGGGTAAACATGTCCACCTATTAAGCGTAAACATGAAGCGTAAACGTGTCCACCTATTAAGTGTAAACATGTCAACCTATTAAGGGTGAACATGTCCACATTGGGATTGAAATATCTTAGATTTTACCTTTATCTTGCCGAACACCGTCCGATCAGTGTATAGAGAAGTGCTGATAGTGCTTTCTGTTTACTTTTATGTACTTAACAGCAAATGAATATTTCATCACTTCATGGCCGCTCCTGTCTTATTATTTTTTTCCAATCAGGCACGAAATTAGAAATGGGCACACAAATAGAACATTTAGACGCGCGTTCATTCTATATGCGTACCACGGAAATAATAATTATTGGAAATCATTGTCTTCTTGTCAATTTGGCCATAACAATTGTGAAACCACAACGTTCCTTGTTATTGACGCACATTGCATCGCTGTGTCCATTTACCATAACTTAACCAATAAGTGACAGGAATTGTGTTTGGGTTGAATGTTTGATGGGATGAATGGGAGGGACAACTGGTTTGCCGGGTCATTAGGACTGTTCTATTACAAGTACTTTGACATAAACAGTTCGAGACAGCTAGCATGGGTTGCCAAAAGTGCGACCACTTGCTGTCCAGGATCCTTCCGTCACTGATTCCTAGATTCGGCCCGATTTTAGTCCTTGATCTATCAGTGCTATAAGGGGCGGTGGGCTCACCTAGTGGTTAAAGCGTTCATGGCGAAGACCCAGGTTTTATTCGCTATTGCTGGTGTCCCCTGCCGTGATATTGCTAAAATATTGCTAAACGCGGCGTAAAACAATACTAACTCACTGCCAGCGCCATACTTTACTAACACCTACGACCTGAGTAAATCTTTCCTCATACATTAAACTACACTCAAGACAGAAAGAAATACCAGTGATAACACATACTGTACTGAATTTGTTCGGAATATATCGTGTTTAAAGCACTTTACACACATACAAAAAAACATTAGTTACGAGTTTCTGATATTTTTGTGTTGGCCGTTGATTAATGTTGATCTCCGATCGCCAAGTCTATCTAGTGAGCTTCCACTACAGTTGCTTGTTGACGTTGACACCAAACCGAAATATATATATATAAAACAAAATTGAACAAGGACCTAGACATTTCTATTACTTCGGCGTCTCATTCACCTACAACTGATGTTAATTGTCTCAGACTTTGGTGATTAAGAATGGATTATTATGAATAATCCGCACGTTTCTTCTGACTGTCTCACCAGTAGTTCCAGGGTCTGTGTAGATACAGAAGGGGTCATGTCTGAAGGAAAGGAATGTTCTGAGCCAATGATGTGTTCACTTCTTACACATGATCAAAGGTATGAACTGTGCAGAAGATTATATTGTGGTGTGCAGGTATGTACACGGGGATTGTTTGAGGTGACGCGGTTCCTCTGTTTCACTGTGAGTGGAGGGTGGTCGGGTAGCCTAGTGGCTAAAGCGTTCTCTCGTCACGCCGAAGACCCGGTCCGATTTTCAACATGGGTACAATATGTGAAGCCCATTTCTGGTGTCCTCAGCCGTGACATTGCTATAATATTGCTAAAAGCGGTGTAAAACCATACTCACCTCCTGTGAGTGATCATAATTCATTTAAATCATAGATATACACTTTTGATAAGACGTTTTTATTGTAGTGAGGGAGTTATTTCGGTTATATCACGTCGTGTCAGCTTAATGTGGGAGTGAGTGAGGGTTTAACCACTAGGTTTTCCCGACCGCCCCCTTGGGAGGAAACCCAGACGTGATGCAGGTATATCAGACGTTTACCACCGACGAGCACGGGTATGGTGCTGACAAACCTAGAAACATAATCGGGGCGAACCGGGGTTTCAACCCACAGTCATAGGTTTCTGGCGTGCCTAAGGGACGCAACTCTGCACAGCGACTTACAGTGTTTTAGACGACTGGGCCACCCGTGCTCCCGGATTTTATGATAGATATGATTAAACGTATATATGATAGACACCAATTCTTAATTTAGGGATTACATAAAATGAATCGTCGGACAATGATGATTATGGATATCAATTTTGTGAAAGTCGATATATGTGTAGTTATTTTCAACAGACCAAACTGGTGTTCAGCGATATCATGTTGCTAAAATTCAAAGCAATCAGTATTTTATAGACTGTTTAATGGTGAACACTTTGAGGGGCGATAAAGAGAACATTGATTAAACGCAAATGGAAAACATAAAATGACAGTAAGACCAGTGAAACACGCTTTGTTGGTGAATTCTGACTATAACTAGCCTCTGTCTGGTCACAATGGTACAAGGGAACTACGTCGCTGTCTTCATTGTATATCGCACCCGTATTCTCTCACTGAATCTTCAGCGTCATTACCTTTAGGTACGAGCATATTGCTGAACTTATTTTAATTGGTTATAATAATATCTTAAGCTACAAAAGAGACTTAAAATTGAGTAGAAATGCATCAACTGAAAATCGTAGACTACAAAAGTGATGTTATGAGACGTGGTTGTATATGTATATGTACAATAATCTCCTTGCGAAAAACAACTACACATAGACTAGTTTCTCAATACGAATAAAAACTCACCAATAGCGTATGAAGGAACGTTACATCCCGAATGACGCTGTTACAAATACACTTGCTTGTTATCCAGGAATGTTTTTTAAAGTCAAACGTATATTAAGGGCACCGGATGTGAAATAATCTCAATCCCGACAACCTTCTGTTAGTTTCAATATCTTCTATATGACACACGCCTCTTCAGTTGTTCAATGTCAGACAAAATATGACATTAAGTGGCGCCAGGTTCCCTTTGTGATGTTGCTGAGCAACACGGAAACAAAGTTTCTAAAACAGTAGAAAAATTGACTAATCAAATAGCAAGAGATAGCGAGGCGTGAAGAGAATGGCCTCAACGATTAGTTGAAGTCTTGCAAAGGGTGTGTGTATCTACTGCCTAGAAACCCGAACGGGGGAGGGGCTTTGGGTTTTGGATGGGGAGGGGTGATTCTGTCATAGTGTCTTTACAGGGCCGTCACTTTCAGATCGATAACTATAGATTTAAGTTGGAATGTTGTAGATAATGCAGATATATAGTTGAGCATCATGCATATTTTATTTGACGCTGTCATAACGTTTAGTATAGACACGCCTTGTTGGGGAAAATCGATTAGAGTTCAAAATGCCAATACAGTAATGCACAGGAGGATTGGTCATTGATGTGTTGATACACAATAACAGTTTGGTTTGACACACGACGTATTTAATGAAATGCTTATGGATGCATTAATTCATTTTCGTAATAAATAGTTGTATTTATGCCATCATTATTATTGGCGTCGGTGTCGTCACTGTCGGCATACTCGTCTCCTTGACATTCAGGAATACATACTCACTGCGAAGTTTGATCTTGAAATGATACCGCGAAATATTTACTGGTGTGACGACCCGTGGTGTAAAGTGGGATGACCTTTGTATCTGGTGGTGTAAAGTAGGATGACACTTGTATCTCGTAGTGTAAAGTAGGATGACACTTGTATCTGGTGGTGTAAAGTAGGATGACACTTGTATCTGGTGGTGTAAAGTAGGATGACACTTGTATCTGGTGGTGTAAAGTAGGATGACACTTGTATCTCGTAGTGTAAAGTAGGATGACCTTTGTATCTGGTGGTGTAAAGTAGGATGACACTTGTATCTGGTGGTGTAAAGTAGGATGACACTTGTATCTGGTGGTGTAAAGTAGGATGACACTTGTATCTGGTGGTGTAAAGTAGGATGACACTTGTATCTCGTAGTGTAAAGTAGGATAACCTTTGTATCTGGTGGTGTAAAGTAGGATGACACTTGTATCTGGTGGTGTAAAGTAGGATGATACTTGTATCTCGTAGTGTAAAGTAGGATGACCTTTGTATCTGGTGGTGTAAAGTAGGATGACACTTGTATCTGGTGGTGTAAAGTAGGATGACACTTGTATCTCGTAGTGTAAAGTAGGATGACACTTGTATCTGGTGGTGTAAAGAAGGATGACTCTTGTATATCCTGTTGTAAAGTGACAAGACCCTTGTATCTCGTGGTGTAAAGTAGGAAGGCCCTTGTATCTCGTTGTGTAAAGTAACAAGACACTTGTATCTCGTGGTGTAAAGTATGTAGACCCTTGTATCTCGTGGTGTAAAGTAGGAACACCCTTGTATATCCTGTTGTAAAGTGACAAGACCCTTGTATCTCGTGGTGTAAAGTAGGAAGGCCCTTGTATCTCGTTGTGTAAAGTAACAAGACACTTGTATCTCGTGGTGTAAAGTATGAAGACCCTTGTATCTCGTGGTGTAAAGTAGGAACACCCTTGTATATCCTGTTGTAAAGTAACAAGACCCTTGTATCTCGTGGTGTAAAGTAACAAGACACTTGTATCTCGCAGTGTAAAGTGGAATGACCCTTGTATCTTGTGGTGTACCATTGGAAGACCCTTGTATCTCGGGATGCAAAGTGGGAAGACCCTTGTATCTGGTGGTGCAAAGAGGGAAGACCCTTGTATCTGATGATGCAAAGAGGGAAGACCCTTGTATCTTGTGGTGCAAAGAGGGAAGACCCTTGTATCTGGTGGTGCAAAGAGGGAAGACCCTTGTATCTGGTGGTGCAAAGAGGGAAGACCCTTGTATCTGGTGGTGCAAAGTGAGAAGACCCTTTTATCTTGTGGTGCAAAGAGGGAAAACCCTTGTGGTGTAAAGTGAGAAGATCCTTGTGTCTCGTGTTGTACAATGTGAAGACCCTTGTTTCTCGTGGTGTAAAGTGGGATGACCCTTGTATCTGGTGGTGCAAAGTGAGGTGACCCTTGCATCTTGTGGTGTACAATGGGAAGACACTTGTGTCTCGTGGTGTAAAGTGGGAAGACTCTTGCATCTGGAGGTGAACAAAATGAAGACTGATGATGGAAATAGGAAGATCAATGCATCTACTGGTGCACGTTTAGAGGACAGTGGTACAGGATAACACGTGACGGGGAAATGTGACAAGAAACTAACGTCTGAAAGTCATTTGGCAAGTTAACTTGTATCTAATGTGGAAAATATACATATACTTGCCTGTCATGGAGAAATGGAGAAATGAACCGCGAGATGTGAGCATCGAGGAAAAGGTAAATAGACTTGATTCTAAGGTGCAAAGGGAAAGGCTATTTGCTTCCACTCTCTACATTGATTGCTACAAACATAAGACCCATCAAAGGAGAACACCGACATGTCGAAAGGAGAATAAGGATATGACAATAACAGTGAAGCCAGTCACTTGTTGAAAGTTCTAATCAATAAAATTCTAAATCTACACAGTCCACATTCTAACCACCGGATCGACATTAGTCGGCTCTTGCGAAAATCAACGGATAGTTAAGGCCTTTACATTTAGATAAAGTGATACGAGAACGTCATTGCTATTATGACATAAAGAAGTAGGAAAACTCGGATGGGTGCATTAACACTAGTATTAGGAGAACATCAGCGGAAGGATACATTAATATAAGAATTAGGAGAACATCAGCGGAAGGATACATTAACATTTGTATTAGGAGAACATCAGCGGAGGGATACATTAACATTTGTATTAGGAGAACATCAGCGGAGGGATACATTAACATTTGTATTAGGAGAACATCAGCGGAAGGATACATTAACATTTGTATTAGGAGAACATCAGCGGAGGGATACATTAACATTTGTATTAGGAGAACATCAGCGGAAGGATACATTAACATTTGTATTAGGAGAACATCAGCGGAGGGATACATTAACATTTGTATTAGGAGAACATCAGCGGAAGGATACATTAACATTTGTATTAGGAGAACATCAGCGGAGGGATACATTAACATTTGTATTAGGAGAACATCAGCGGAAGGATACATTAACATTTGTATTAGGAGAACATCAGCGGAGGGATACATTAACATTTGTATTAGGAGAACATCAGCGGAGGTAGAAATTAAGCAATAGAAAAATAGCAGATGGATAAATTAACATTATTAGCAATAGAGCATAAGCGGATGACTTAATTAACATTATGAGTAGGAGAATATCAGCGGATTTATCCATAATAACGTTAGTATTAGAAGATTATCAGTTGATCGAACAATTAAGATTAGTAGTAGAAGAACATCAGCGGATTGATAAGTTAATATTAGCAGTAGGAGAATATAGAGTAGCAATAGAGTGAGTGAGTATGGTTTTACGCCGCTTTTAGCAATATTCCAGCAATATCACGGCGGGGGACACCAGAAATGGGCTCCAGCGGATGGAATGTGTACATTGGTGGTAGGAGAATATCAGCAGCTTTGTCCATTTATCATTTGTAGCAATAGAACATCAGCAGATTGATAACTTAAAATTAGCAGTAGGTGAATCTCGGCAGATTGGTACATTAACACTTAGTAGTAGAAAAACAACAGCAGCAGATGGATAAATTAACAAGAGTAGCAATAGTACATGTGCAGATTGGTACATTAATATGGTAGTAGGAGAACATCGGCAGATTGGTACACTACCATTTAGTGGTAGGAAAACATTAGTGGATTGTAACATTAACGTAAGTAGTAGGAACACATCAGCAGATTGGTACATTAACATAAAAGGAGGAGAATTCAACGGATTGGTACATAAACATTAGTAGTTGGAGAACATTAGCGGATTGGCACATTAACATTAGTAGTAGGAGAAGTCAGCAGATAGAAGTGAGTGAGTGTGGTGTTACGACGCTTTTAGCAATAATCCAGCAATATCACGGCGGGGGATACCAGAAATGGGCTTCACACATAGTACCCATGTCGGGAATCGAACCCGGATCTTCGGCGAAACCCTTTAACAACTAGGCTAACCGACCACGCCTTAACGGATTGGAACATTATTAACATTAGTAGTAGGCGAACATTAGATGATTGATACATCGACATTGAGTTGTAGTAGGCGCATTGCTTGAACCACATCAATACGGCATCAAGTAGAAATTGAAACTACAGAGAGATACTTTCACAGAAGCAGATACGTTGTTCAGTGTTGAGAACTGATGCAGAATAGCATCCTCGACAAGTTGGATCGAAATGGCGAATTTTGAACCGACTATGACAATAATCGGTAACGGCACGCCCGTAGCACTTGGATAAATATCAATATACCAGTCTAGGTTAGTGTACGAAGGGTACAGAAAATCAATCTGACAACAGTGATCGATTTCCTACTAAGCGGATCTTTCCTTTATTCAGGCATAAAAATGGACATGTAATGATACCAGTTACCTTTTAGAACACCATTCAATTCAAAGACAAATCATGTAGCGGTTATGAAGTCACTTTCTCAAGGTTGATTCGTGATCATTTTCACAAATTGTTGTCAACGGATGGGCCAGTTCCAATTAACGAACAATGAGAAAATTATATGAATGGATCACTGAAAATCAACGATGACACCAGGTGATCGCGAAGAGGGTAAGCATGTCCTGCCCTACACGTAGCACCCGACACTCATACAATAGGAATAAAACAGAAAGTGTTTGTTTGTTGCCTGCCACACAGCAGTTCTCCTGGGACTGGCATACAAAATTAATTAACATTATGTGTGTTTTTTATATTAATCAAGCCGCTACATGTTTGACAGTGAATATAACTTTGTGCAAAACATATCCCATGTCATTGCAAGACAGCTAGATGATCTTGTCTGAGATTCAATCTCTTTGGGGTGATTTACTTATGTTGTGCTTTATCATATACTGACTGTTTATCAAACCGTATTCAAAAACCAAAATGTCTCTTGTGTGATTACAAAGAAACAAAAGCTTCATTATAAAAGCTTTAACATGAGCTAC